CGCTCGATAAACCTTGGTGTACCGCTCGGTATGTCGGTACCATACTGAGCGTATATTTTAGCAACAAAAGATTAATATTAACTTATACGAAATTTACAAGGGATTCGATAGGTATAATACAGTTGATTTTGACCTAAATATTTTGTATCATTAATTTAGGCTCGATGAAATTATATCCTATTAAGTTGGATTATAGCCTTCAAATTTCATTCATAAAATATATGGATTTGTTTCACACAAGAATTTTGTTAGTGATTTTTTCTTTTACATTGAGAAGCATTAGTGCTGCATTAGTCACACAGATAACAAAGTAATTGAACAGATGTGTTATCTATGTGCTTTCCAAACAATTTTAAATGCTTTCATTGGACATCATTAATTGACCAACTTTAATGCATAATATAAAACATCAATTGTTCAAATAAATGAATCTATTATGAAATTTTCATCATTTTAATTAATAATTATTTTGTAATATTAGCACATCATTTGTCAAGGATGTCAACTATTTTAACTGATAAAGAATCTGATAATTATTGATATCAAGGTCCAAGGATATAATTAGGCATCAAGATACATTAATAGTATCCTTTAATAGCCATCTCTTCCTTAATTATTCTTTAGTGGCTAAGCCTTGAGTTCTCTTTATATATATATATTTTTGTTCAGCTTAATATAGAATTAAATAAGGATAAATGATTCATAGAGTGAGTTCATATGCCTTGGACCTGTATTATCATCCAACATAATTTATGAAAAATAAAATATTTAAGCTTTTATAATTTTTTGGTTGATTTATGATTAACAAATAAATTCTTTAATCTCTTTTTGTTTATCTTTTCCCAACTTTTCTAGTCACATTTATGAACTTTTCCCTAGAGAGAAATCATCATAATTTATTATCAGATATTGGTCATCATAAAAACTATACCATTGAACCCCTGGTACTACTATACAAAAATGATATTGGCATCAAGCATATATTGATAATAATATAAATCAATTAGACATGTTAAAGAAAAATATAAATAAATTAACCATGCTAATTGTCTCATCTATCAACCTAGGTTTTCAGATGGAATAATATTGATTAAAAATTTGATATGAAAGCAAAATGTCATGCATTCAAAATGTATCCAAACTAATTAAATAAATATTCTAGTTTGAGACATCTGCGGTGAAGAATGCAAAGAAATATATCAGCCAAATATCTAATTGGCACAACTCATTGGTTACACAGATAATAGTACAAAACCAACATCAGGTAGAATAATTTTCTTTATTTGTTCCTCGCAACCAATTCCAACTCCTTCCATGTCCAAGAACAGCTACAAGTATTATTTCCGCATAACAAATACCGAAATAGCTCATCAAGGGATCAACACTGGTGGGGTCAATAATTGTTCAGATTGTTTTCATACCTTCGGAAAGTGACAATCAGTGATCAATTGAATGCAACTGGTTGAGGATGTTCTGGTTGTCCTCCAAGAGGCGATCATATTCGATCAGCAAATCGTCAGATTGTTTTTTCAGAGCCATCACATTTGCTTCTGCAGCTCTGGCTTCCTTTATTCTTTCCTCTGACTCGAATTTTAAATGCTTTATCTGTTCATTCAGGCATGCAATCTCTCTGTCCCTTGTTTTTATTTCGTCTGAACCCCCACATTTTGTTTCTTCCAGTACCCTGTTTTGCTTCATAACAGCCTCCATGCTCTTTCTTAGCCCACGTAATTCTCTGATGTAATGGTGAAGACGGTCTATAATAAGAACAAGGAAAAGGGAATAACCTGCAACATGTAGATGGGACACAGCATCAACACAAGTAAATTCCTTGTACAGAATCAACAGTTTGAAGCAGAGTGCAAGGCTCTTGATATGATAATCCAAAATAGATTACTTCTGAAATCACCATGAGATGCTGGTTTGCAACATAGAATGTTTAGATTAGAATATGAATCTTAAAAAAAGTGATCAGCAGTTTCCACCAAATCTACCATATCTCAAGGAATGAGCTTGAGCTAATAGTTGTAGAAAAAAAATTTAAATAGACAAGAAGAAAATGATAACAACAAATGACCTTGAAGCTGTTTATAGCAAAAAATCAAGAACAACCAGAGGGATATTCAAGTGTTTAGAGATTCAAGTGAGTCAAATTGTTAGCAAACAGGTTGGTGCTCGGCTCGTTAAAGGTTCAGCTGAGCACTCCTAAAATAAGTTGAGCTGAGCTTGAACATCATTTTCAAGCTTGACTTGAATTTGGAATGGAGCTTGAGCTCATATATGAAACGAGCAAATTATTTGTCATGTGTGGTTACTAACGACTAAATATTGTAAAACTAGAAGATAAATTCTTATTTTCTTGCATTAGCAAAATCAGCATAACAAATCTTTTGCCCATGGCTTCAAGATTCACAAGACACCATGAAAATGTAGATGCAACATGAAAAGAGCACATGTAACAAATCAAGGATTCCACTCTTAATAAAATTTTAGGTATTTATATATTAAAGAGAATGGTCATTCGATCAAACTAGTTCTGTGACGTGTGTAGCGAACGCATGTATACATTGGCTAGCAAGTAGATGACCTGTATCACATAGCACACGACCTGTACTGACCTGTATAGGATGGTACAGGCCATGTACCGGGCAATTTCTTTGTTTTTTCAATTTCTTTGGTCTTTTTCTAGGACTCGATACATACCAACACATTGACAATTGGGTACACAAGTGCAGACCGGTATGGTATCAGACCGAGCCTTGACAATCCAGCATGATGTGGTGGTTATAACTTACACAATCCAGCATCATCATCATTGGCTTAGAGTTCTGTCATTTGAGACCTACCATTTGGTTATCATTCAAGACTCCTACTATTTCTTGACCAACAACAGATCCACAAAAACATCTTTGCCATCTTAGTCATTATTCAAGAATACCACATATTTGATGCCTCCTAACTACTCAGCACCAGATTGCAGCAACTGCATTTTTTTTGCCTTTGAACCTAGGATTTGATAACTAGATCTCATTCCCTCGACAAATTTCCTAAAAATTGAAGTCACGTCGTGTATCTATACTGACAATTAGCTCTCCACAACACTCACATGATATATATGACAACACCAAAGAGACTTCATATTCACATTAGATGTTGGTGCTCTTTCAATAGGCATCAATGCTAAGACTAACCGAGAGAAGATGCTCGACTAACCATAGTGCGTAGACCTACAAAGTTGATTTTAAATAATTTTTCTGTTTTCTTATTATACCAAAGAAGAATAACATCACTGTATTTTGCCAAGATTTTGCAACCCTTGTGAAAATTATAACAAATATCATGTATAGGTGAATTATGAAAGAAATTTCCCAATGATAAATTTTAAACAACCAGGTCCTCAGGCTACCCCTCTGAAAGCAGTTGCACAAGTTCTCAGACATGCCATGACAATTGATCACAGGGCTTCTACCTATGCAAGTCAAATTGTACTCAAATGAGAATGATGCGACTTTTGGTAGCCAAGGGATAAATTTACATGATTTAAGTAATAATAATCAAAATAAGGGCTCACAAGATCCAATCAAGTTTAGTTCAGGTTACCTTTGAGGTTTCTCATCTGTCAACATTATTATCAGATAATAATTCATCAAATATTATTTTCTTCTTTTCTTCTCTATTATGCAGGCGAGCAGAGCAATTCAACAGATCAAATATGTTTTTTTCACAAACAGTTCATCAGCATCACAAAATTTTTTCCAAGCTATTTTACATTCATGGTGATTAGACTCAAATCCAACAACAGAAGAAGAAGAAGAAGAAGCAGTAGGACAAAACAAGATTTCGCGAGACTGTAGAGTGGATACCCATGAGGGATGCTTCGAGGAGGTGGCGGCTCATGAGGACCTGGTCGGTGGGCGTGAAGGCGCCGAACTCGGCGGAGCGGCTGCGGATCTTGGCCATGCTGTAGAGGCTGGAGGCGAGGACGATTACGACGGTGCCTGCAACGGTCTTCACCATGACGGGCCCGCGGCCGCGCTTGAAACGGTCGAGGCCGAGGATAACGAGCTTGCGGAGCGGGGTCTTGAAGAGGAGGGCCACCGCCACCCCAGCCTCCGCCGACAGCATCGTGAACAGCAGCTGGATCATCTTCTACTCCCCCGATCTCGAAAACAATAAGGCGGCAGCGCGGAACGAAGCCGGAGAAGGAGGATGGATTCGACGGCTTCGCAATCTAAATCGAAGGATGATATATATGACGCAAAATCCAAGGGTGGAGAAAGAAGGATCGGGCGTTGGATTCGATGGCCGTAACGGGAATTGACAATTTAGATTGCTTTTCGCCGACCAACGCTTCCGCGGTACCAGCCATTTCATGATCTTGTACCCTTCGTTTTGGAAACCCTCTTTCTACCGTCCACATGATTGAGTAGAATGGGAGGTCCCACTTGGTCCCGAATAAGCTTCGATGACCACGAGGGTAAACGCAAGAGTATCTCTTCGATGAGATGGAAACGGGACTTGACTAATTGACGACGTCCGGACGTGTAACGGCATGGGAGTAATACGTTCCTCAGTGGGGCCATTAGACATTTCGACAAACTAACCCGCATGTCTACCATCTACGTTATTGGTGAATTGAAGGCCCGGCATGGTCCCCAAAAATACTTCCGATGACTACGAAGGTAAGAATGGGAGTTCTCGTTGATGGGATCAAAACGGGACTTGACTAATTGACGACGACAGTACAGAAATTATCCCTAATTATTTATGTTTATGATTTGATATCATATTTATGATAATAAATATAAACAACCAAATATAACTCTTATAAGGAAGAAAATAAAAAAAGAACAATTTATAAAGATGGAAATTATAAAGTGATACTTAAGACATGAAAAATTAATGCATATAAAAATTAATTAATTAATTAATTGGAGAAGAGAAAAAAATCCCAGTATTATACAGCAATCATCTCCCCATCCCCATGACATTCCGCTCCCGCTTCCGATATCTCCAGAGGTCGGATGGCGTTGGTCGCTAGGGTTTCAACTCGTCGCGTCTTCTCCCGCCACCTCCACTCGCCCTTCCCATCTCCTCTCACCGCTCACGCCTTCATCCCACTCCCGTCCCTCACTTCCCCTTGCCTTCCCGCTCGGAATCGCGCGGTTACTGCTTGCCTGAGCTCTTCTGCTCCGGCCGTAATCGATGCCCAGACGGCCGGCCGGTGGAAGCCCATGTGTCTTTATCACACCCAGGGTAAGTGCACCAAGGTACGAATTCGAGGTCCTTATTCCTAGACTCTGTTCTTATTTTGGTGAGTATCATTGATGAACTTTAAGGTTTGTTTGATTGTTCTGCATCTGGCGGTAGTAGTTGTAACAACATTAGTCGTCGGATCCATTTCTGCTAGACGGTAATGAATCAATCACGAAGCTTCGGTTTCTCGGAACCTTGAGATGTTGCCATTGGCTTTATGTAGGAATGAGGATAATGCACGAGATGGTATCAACTACCACAAACGTAATCGGTCAGATTTTGCATCAATTTTCCTTTGTTTACGTGCTATTGATCAAGCATCGGAACTAGCTTACCTGTCACATTACTAATTGAAGTAGAGCAATACAGTTGGAGCTTCTGTTTATTGACTACGAGAAGACACATAAACGGTATTGATAAATGACCAATGAGGAGCGGACGTATTTCAACGAAAAGGTGCTGTCCATTTAGAACTTAAGTTTGTGTTAGAAATTTATTAGTTCATGGCTTTAGGACTTGTTGTCTGAACCTATAAATCCATTTTAGCAATGCCATGTGATGATCGACTTACCTTGTGACACAGCTTGAGTTATGTTGGATAGACTAGATAGGCTTAACTGGAGACATTGAAAAAATTGTTTGGGTTCAAGAATTGGAAAACTCATTATTATTTGTGAGAAAGGTAACATGATTCTGATATATGGTTTACATGTGGTGAGGTATTTATTGTTTGTAACTTCCAGAGAGGTCAGCATGTTGAAGATGTAGCATGCAATATGGTTGTGCCAGCGCATTCTCTGAAGCACGTCATATATTAGCTGAACTCAGAAATCATCCATCTGTTGCGCATATCAAACTGTCTGGCCCAAGGTAGCATGCTATGTAACTGTTATGCATGCATGAGCATGGGCATAGTGTACACTTGCACAGGTTGATGCATATCATAACACATTCATTTTTTTGTCAGTGGGCCTTGCCATGCTTCAGAACACAAGATGTAGATATGACAGCACAACATTCATATGCATCGTTGGCACATGGCATGCCAATCTTAGATTAGGTGTGTTGTTATAAGGTTTAAGATTTATTTTTTCTTGTTTTTCCTGAACAATATCATACTAGTGTAGGCTTTTATTTTGTCTTTTTGGCTTTCTCTTATGGTGTCTGAAGGAAGTTCCATAGAACAATTTCTAAAAATCCTAATAAAATAAATGTCTAGGTGGATTGTGACACTAAATGCAAACCCCTTGGTTTGAATTTCTCTAAATGGAAAGTGAATAAAATTTATAATATAAATTAAAATTTTGTGTTATGTATGGTATAAACCATGAATCCTAGAGAATACTACATAAGATGAGAGGAAACTATCATTTAATATTACAAGATATATATAACTAGTACCTCCTTTGTGTGTCGGATGTTGATGCTTTGCATCTGAAGGTCAATCATGATTTAAAGTCCTAGTAAAATAAATGCCTAGGAGGATTGTGACTTTAAATGCAAACTCCTTGCTTTTAATTTCCTTAAATGGAAAATGAATAAAATTCACAACATTAATTGAACTAGTCTTATATGGATGGTGTAAACCATAGATCATATAGAATACTACATAAGATGATACGAAAATATCATGTAATATCACAAGATATACGCCTAACTATTACCTCTTTGAATGTAGATGGATGATGCTTTGCATCTGGCGAAGTTCAATCATGATTTTATGGTGGACCTTAAAGCAAGCACGAGAAGCCTGAATAAACTGAGGCCTCAGAATTTGGATTATCTTTTAGTTCTCGACCTAGAGGGGAGAGTTGAGATTCTTGAATTTCCTGTTCTAATGATCGATGCCAAGAACATGGATTTTATTGATTCATTCCACAGGTAAAATTTCTTTGAGAATACTACAACCTTGTCACTCTTATCCAGATAGTTTTCTACTTTTCCCTTTTAACCTAATAGAAGATACCATATGCAACATTATTCTTTCTTACCTTATCTTGTTGTAGATTTTTTCATACATGCAACATTTCATCATAAGGTCTTCAAAAGTTTTAACTGAATAAGCAATGCCCTTATTGCAAGGTGTCAAGTTAGCTATAAAAGGAATCATTAATGCCACTTTTTTTTTATCATGGATATTATTCCAACAAAAATGATGCAACCTTAGGGTGTTAAAATTAATGATGAGGAGATGTACAAAAATAGAGGGAAGTGAATATGGTGACTCATATGATGAGTGAAAAATGTTTAAGGTAGTCTGGATCATGCCCAAAAGAAACTTAATTCACTGTTGAATGAGGTAGAGTTAATAATGATAGTGGTGAAGGTAAGGTAGAGGATGGCATAAGAGAACTTATATGAAGTATTAGAAAGAAATTTCATGGCTTTTAGTTACCAAGTGATGCTTCTTCCAAAGCTCAATGGCAGAAAAGGTCTATCTAGCTGGACCAAATAGTTGGGACCTCATGGCTTGTATATGTTGGTGATTTGGTATGAAAGCTACCTCATTCCAGCAGCTGTTGAACTTAACAAAGAAGCCCAACATGAGCAGTAGATTGGACTAAGTATGACTCAAATAACTCACCAAACTTAGTGACCTAACAAGCACAGTCAAATTTAAATTGTCATAATTTACTACAGCCTATACCCAGATTTTACTTGACTTAGATTGATGCTAACATCGCTTTCAAAGCTGTGTACCTTTTTTCATTGTATAAAGTGCAACACAAATCGCTATTGAGTAAGAAGACAAAAACAACAAGAAGCAATGCCATAATATATGAGTTTGGCTAAATGAATCTGTTCTGCCATTGAACTCTGTTTCTGGCAATAGGGTAGATGAATGTTCAGAATGTCTGATGAAGTTTTATACAGGTTATTAACTGCGTAAATAAGCTTGCACATTGGAGTTAAATGGACTGCTAGTGCCTTTAAATAACCTTGTACCCTTGTTACATATTGTATATTTGGTATCAAATGGATTGGTGAAAGATTTCTTGGTCACAGATAGAGTAACAAGAAGAGGCATCTTGTGTGAAAAAAAAATTATGCCATATATTCTTGTCATTTTGTTTTCTTTCCATAATTGAGAGTTTTTTTTCCCATCAAATCTTGGTCTTGTGCTTTGGCAATAACTTGGTTATAATTATCTTCACTAAAGTATATTTTGTTTGTATAGGTTTGTACGACCAGCAGTAATGAGCGAGCAAAGAATTAACGAATATATTGAAGGAAAATATGGAAAGTTAGGGGTTGACAGGTATTTGCAATAATTGCTAACTATTATTGTGTATTTCTTATTTTGCGCCAAGTGCTTACTCTCTGATTGCATGTTAGATAAAAACTATGGTTGCAATAAGCAGTAATTATGTTCATTCTTTAATTTGTAATGGATAAAAGTTTACTGCTCATTTCTTATAGTTTTGCAAATTATAAAAGATGTGTAGCATATGTCCTTCACTAGCGTGCAATTTGATTGTTTATTTTAGGAACATTAATTTAGGTCTTGCGTGTGGAAGTTTGCTGAATTAGAAAACTCAATCTTTTATATGCTCTTCCTTGAAGTTTGTCATGTAACAATTGAGATCTGTGGTAAAGTAGGAGCCTAAAGCTTATCTCAAATACACAAATTAAGCTTGTTAGCAAGGTTGTAGTCTAAGAAGTTGTTGTAGATCTAGATGGCTCAGGATATTAATTTTATGAGTTCATTGTGAGACAAATATCCTAAATGCTCTTTAGTTAAAAACATAAGCCCCCAGTATGAATCCAACTGAGTTCCCTGCCATGGATGGATGTGGATGAATATGGATTGCAAATTAATTGGAAAAGATTTGTGAAAATTTTAATGAAACTAATGGTCGATGGTCAATCAGATCCCAATATTCTAAAGTTGACACTGAACTTCAGCTAGAGAGGGCCTTTTAGATGATTTAAAATCCTAGATGTGTGAAAATGTTCTGCCTTCTTATTTTCAAATTAACTTCGTGTAACTAGGAGTGTTGTTTAACATTGATCTGTTCAAGATCCATATCTTATCAAATAAAATAAAGACAGAATCCACCCTCCACTCTAAAATATTGTGAAATATATCACCATCAATTGTTAAAATTGGATAGCCCTTAAATGGTAATTTTCATCATGTTTTTGTCATCTTAGGTTATCCTCCAGCCACCACACAGATTATGGATCATGGAGAACAACCATTGTCCATTTTCTTAGTTGTTTAGAGAAGTTCTAAATGTTTATTCAATCAATTTACATTCTGTATACATATATAAAGGTTTGTATTACCATATTATATTATTCAACTTTGTTTTTGGATCTCCAATCTGACAAGAGATCCGTTTCCTGGATTCAAACCTTGTTGTAGCTTAGTTGTTTTTTATGATCATTTTGCTTCCTTGTTCCAAGTCCCCTTTGTCAGATTCTGATTGTTTTTTTTTTTTGAAGTAAAAACTATATTAATTCAAGAGTTCATAGAGACCACTAGGAGGTTAATCACCTATCCAAAATATAGCAGAATTCAACCTGCCAAAGTTAGCAAGAGTGTTGCTATTTCTGTTGATGTGAGACCATTGTGTAACACCAACAGCCTTACCATGATAGAAAATGTCATGACAAAGAGAGTGCAGGTGTTGTCAGATTCTGATTGTTGGTTAAATGCTTTGCACTTATCAGTAAAAATTCCAACAGCTGAAATGCCAAACTCATGCTTTCGTGTTTGCCTTGCGAAAGTGGGGATGATCAAAATCTTACTCTTTGTTTAATTCGTTTATCCGTTACTTTGTGCAGGTTAGCTAAGTAATGTTCCATGGTTTAGCTTACGTAGTTAAGTCTGTAACAAATCCAATTTTAATTTTGCATATTCGTAACCAAACATATACTCTTCTGTGAGATGATCTCCAAGCTGTATTATTAGACTCAGAAGAGTGTAGAAGAAGAGCGAAATGACAAGATGCATGAAACATTAATGTGAACATTTAAAAATTCTTTTCAAGTGCTGTTGTTTTAGGTAAATTTAATTTAGAGAAGTCTCACAGAAGAACAGGGATTAAACCGCCTATTTGATTTGCAGGGTGTGGCATGATACCGCTATCCCATTTAAAGATGTGCTTCATGAATTTGAACTATGGATGAAAAAACATCACTTGTGGGTGAAGGAGCAAGGAGGCTTACTTAATCGAGCAGCTTTTGTAACTTGGTTAGTTGTTATTATGAATAACTGTATGTTGTCTTTGGCTTCATGTTATGGTTTTGTGTTTCTTAGCTTGTCTCTGTTAGTTGAGTCAGCTAGAATTTTTGCTTTGTATTATTTGGATTTGACACCACCTGCGGGCATTCCTTCTGCATCACTAGTTAACAAATGTTTCATTATCTCGTTTGTACAAATTATACATGTTGGACATACACAATTTTTGTATCTACTGTTACTCTGTTGAGTCTTGTAGAACTCAGGTAAGTTTTTGACTGTGCCACACTGTGCCGATATCGTATCAACATAGGTGGTCCTTGCCATGTGCTGGTGTTCTCACACCTTAAAAATGGTGGCTGCTTGTGCTGGTTGATGCAGACCACACAAGTCCACTATAGCAAAGAAGGTGTTGCCTTGAGTTCTTAATGGGAATTTTTTTTGTACATTTCTTGGCAAGTATCTGCTACTTGAATTATTCATTTACTTTTGTTCACTGAATTTGATTTGTTGCAAAGATTGTTCTCTGCTTCACTATTTTACATCTATTTCATGCGTACTACCTCATGTATATTATTCATAACTCGAACAGATACATACATCTAATGAACAGGGTAATTGACCAAATCATGCAGAAGCACCTTGATATTTTCATAGGTTGAATTGTGGATTCTTGTAATCAGTCTCTTGAAATGTGTGTTTAATATGCTTATTTGCTTTTGCTTTATTGACAACTAAACTACTCAGTCTGAGTTATCGACTTTTAGGATATTGCCCTGTTTATTGCTTTTAAAAATCACTACTTGTTTAATGAGTATGCTATAGGTCAGAATTCATCATGTATTATGTAACACATAGATATGAAATTTAAAGCTCGCTTCTTGGTTATAAGCATAAAATTTTAGGATCTTAAACTTGTCACACTTAAAGTTTCTTGGGAAAACTTAAGCATTAAATAATTTTCCTTTACCTAGGAAATAACCTAATGACATAAGAATCAGACATGCTTATTTTGCCTTATAATGACAGTGGGAACTGGGACTTGAAGACGAAGATTCCTGAGCAATGCAAAGTTTCAAAGATAAAGACTCCTTCATACTTCATGGAGTGGATCAATCTGAAGGACATATACCTCAATTTTTACAAGAGAAGGGTGAGCAGATTTCCTTTATTGTCTATTCTCCACAGATACTGCAATAATTGGAGGAACTAACATTTTTTAAAAAATTTTGTCTGTCCTTAGCAATCCTATATTATTAATTAATTCTCTCTCGTGACAGGCAACAGGAATGATGACAATGCTGAGGGAACTGGAAATACCCTTGTTGGGAAGTCACCACCTTGGGATTGACGACACTAAGAATATAGCAAGAGTTCTTCAGCGTATGCTTGCTGATGGTGTCATCTTGCAAATTACTGCAAAGAGGAGTTCTTCAGTTCCAGGTGATGTGAAATTTCTTTTCACAAACCGAATCAGATGATCTTATGATTACTTGAGAAATTTTTGCACATACAAGAAGAGTGTTGCAAGAGCAGTCATGAATGGGCATTGTATGAAAACTTAAACCCTAATGTCAAAGGTTTAAGAACTAACTTGCCTGCTGTAATGTTGGCAATCAATTGACATTTCCACCTCGAGTATACAAAGCTGAGGCTCCGTTCATCATACAGGTTTATAAGTCCGAAGGAGGAACTAAACAAGTCATTTGGGTGTTATGTTGCCCGAGTTCTGTTACACTTATGTATGAGTAATAGTTCTGATATTGACAGTACACTAAATAAGAAAGGCTGATTTGTTGTCAACTTGGCATGATTGTGTATGGTTCAGATGTACTTTTCAGCATTGCAGAAGATTATTCAGAACTTCTCTATATTTTAGGTTTGATCTACTTCCAGAAATTTGCGAAGTCCCATTGGTTCTTTGTTATGGCAAGCATTTAGTGGTTGAAGGATGCAAACTATTCTTGTGTGCATTCACTTAATATTGTGCGCTTTACGAATACCAAAATTTCTTTTAGAAAACCGTGATCTTGTATGTTTGGCGAGCTTTTAGCCGTTTTGACGCCATATGCTATGCTGACTCTTCGCTGAGAAGTCTTTGTTTTTTTTTTCTTCTCCATATATGAAAAGAGGCCTCACCATCTGCAGGATTATGGTATCCTTTATAGTTAACTATGGATTATGGTATTCTCAGTAGTTAACTATGGTTAGCATCTTGATCCATGTATTTTAAAAAATAAAATGCAAAGAAAAATATATATAAATAAAAAAGATAAAAAATATAATTTTATTTTTTTAATAATTAAATTTATATTCACTTCTCGCCCTAATCTATTTCTCTTCCTCTCCTTTTTCTGACTTACTTGCATATCGCTCGTCTCTTGTATTCGCTCGATCGTCATCGCACTTGCATCACTCTTGTTATTGCACTTGCACCACTCGATTGTCGGTCTTACATCGCTCGATCGTCATCGCTCGTGCATTGCTTAATCATTGCCTCTCCTACATCGTTTATCACCATCACACTGAGCAATGTAGGAGCAACGATGGTCAATGCAAGAGTGTCCGCGACGAGCGGTGTAGATGCTGTGGTGGTCGAGTGGTGTAGAAGCGACGGCGATCGAGCGATGCAGGTTGAGCGGGTGCGGTAGACGAGCGATAGAAAGTAAGTCGGAAAATGGAGAGAGAAAAATCAGTTAGGGTGAAAAATAGATATAAATATGATAATTAAAAATAATAAAATTATATTTTTATTTTTTTAATATTTTTTTTTATCGATGAAATTAATGATTTAAAAAAGAATTGGGATTAAATGTTTTACGTTTGTAAGATTAAACAGGAATTGAGGTCTTCTGTCGTCTCGTAACACGTGTGGCTTACAAGTGCCTTCTTCCCCTGTTCTTGGTTTCGGAAGCCACAGCTCCTCTTTGGTGTTCTGATGGCCGCGTCTATCTCCCTTCCACCTTCCCAATTTCTCCTCTTTCCACGCCGTTCCCCTCCTCCTCCACCTATTCCTCATCCTCAACTCGTGAGTCCACCTCGCAAGTCCACCCTTTGCTGCTCTTCTTCTTCGACTCCTTCCGCAGATGCTTCTTATCCAGTTGTAACCGAAGAAGCAGCAGAGGAAGAAGACGATAGCTCCACCCTTCCTCTTCCTAGAGAAGGATTCTCCCCTTATGAAGCCGAATCACCGATTGAAGGCACAGAGGACCCCCAGTTCAGGTATCCTATACGATTCAAATTCTTCCCTTGAACAACTCAACTGTATGAACTTCTGCTATGATTTCATCAGTTCTTTTGGGTTGTTATCTCTATATGTTTGTGCCATCGAATAGTAAGCACATTTGTATTTGTATTATGTCATTGTAGAACCTGTTATTAGTATATAGATTGTTGCTTCTGCACGAAGTTGTGTACTGATCGATTGGAAGTCAGGGCTACTGATTTCTTTGGGGCATTTAAGACCGGCTATGGCCAATCCTCGCCGTGCGCAGATTATTGGAAACATTTGGTATAAATCTTGGGAGAGTAAAATATTAAAAGCCTAAATCTTGTAATCAATTGTTCAAGTTATCTAAGGCTTAAGCATCTTGATTGCAAGTTGAAACATAGGAAGATTGTTGTTTCAAATTTACAGAAATTTGTACAAGCTGGAGATGGAATGGAGTATCTTTGTCCTTCTTCCTTCAGTGCCTGCATCTTCTTTAATGTTAAATGATTAACAAGTGAAAGGAGGATCGGTCCACCCATGATGGGTTGGGTCAATTTGGTTAACCACTAGTGTTGGTTGAGTCCTCAAATGGAGGTGTTACAAAGAATAACTTCTCACCAAGTGACTCCTTACCCTCATTCGTTGGAGTCATCACATTCACCGAGTAATGGAGGAATTACAACCATTCTTCATTGTAGGTGTCATATAGAATAATTCCCCTCCTTCATTGGATGAGTTACAAAGGTTAAATCCTCAAACGAATGAGCATAATTCATGAGGGAAAATTACGATAATAAAACTTCCTCATGCCAAGAACCCTATAAATAGGGGTTGAGAGAATTGCAAAAGCATTCCAATTATCATTCTTATTATCACACATTTGAGTGGTAAAAAAGAAGGTGTTTTCCCTATTGGTGATTACATTTTGGATCCGCAATATTGATCCAAATAGTTGGTGATTCGACACTTCTTGGGACACAAATTCCTTAAAGAGAAGGTATGTACAAGTTCATTTATCATACTTGTTTTGGGATTTTTTTTTAAATTTTCCAACAACAATAAATTCTTTGGCTACAATATGTTTATCTTCTTGATTGTCATGTTTATATCACCCATAATAGTAGTCTATTATGACCATCTGCAGCTTACAGTATTGTTTTGGTGTTAGTTTGCTAAAACAGCTATTTTCTGCTATCTGAATTATTTATGATGTGAGATTATATCTCAAGGGGCTGCAAGACTTGTGGAAGAGAGGAAATTGAGAAAGGTTGCAATGGCAAGGGACGGATTCAGGGCGGGATAGCCACTGTCCCGGGCTTTGGCTGGTGGCCGATAAAAGCCTTTAGGCCATGCCCTGGATTTGTGGCATCTGGTGGCCTATATAGGAGGCAAGGGCAAAGCATGGACGAGGTTGCATTTGGCAGGGGGGAAAGGGAGATGTCCACCAAGAACATTAATAAACCTAACTCAAGGTACAGTCTGGATACTCCTATAATTTCTTTAAACTTCCGTATCTGTTTTATCTGCAGTTTAATCTGTCACAAAAAAAGAAAAAAAAAAAGCAAACTACTTTTTTTCCTGTTAAGTTTATGTATAATTTATACATTCAGTTCGTCATTTGACTTGATCTCTTTTGAGTTATTTTATCTCGGTCATCATCTGTCAGTATAATGCTTAAAAACCTGAAGCAAATTTTCGATTATATTTTTTTTAAATGATGGACATGTTGGTTTATGTGAAATTCTAAATAACTTATTTCCATTATCGTCATTATGTCAAATTGCCATCAAACACATGGATTTGTTTTTCTTTTGGCATATAAGGTAAAAGATGCAGAAAGCTTTTCCTAATTGCAAGAGGAGAGGAGATAGAAATCGACTATCGAATCTCATTTTCCTCCATTTCTTCGAGTGAAATGAATCAACATGGCATTTGAACTTAGGTTCCTGCACTTGATAATTCAACAATTAGTAACTGGCCTGTAATCCTTGAAATTTTTTTGCCTGTTAAACATTCCAGTCTGACTTTGTGCTAACAAGGGTTGAGAGGAGATGCCGTGACGTTCATGATGAACATTTTGGGTTTTCTTTAAGAAACTTGCAGTCTGATTTGTTAATACAGCTTAATGAACAGTTTATATTCTATCAGCTTAATGGTCCTCTAACCTCATGCAGCAAGAAAAAGCAAGGACCAAGTAGCTTGAAGAGATGAAAATACAGGCTCTGTGCTCGATGACGACGAGGCAACCCAGCAAGATCATATCTGAATGATACCTTGCTCGCATTACTCTTTACCATATTTGTTTGTGGTACTAAATTTTACACATATCACCATTGGAAAAATGCTTTGTATTATTGTAGTTGTTGAAGATTTCTGATTTCAGATTGGAGCAAGGTTTGTGCTCTTACGGTTGATCTTGTGGTGATGCTGCTTATCGGGAAGTGTTACACTCCATTGGCTTTACATGGTTATCTGTGCGATGTCTGTACTGTAGAAGCCACAATTCAACCAAGATTTGTATTGATCTTTCATCTCAGAACTGCATGAGACAGGAAACCATTCAAACTATGGTTTTACTCCCATCACATTTTCTGAAATAACAAGTACATGTTTGATGTTTTACGAATGATTTTTGGCTGCTTAAAGGATCAGATGTATTAATGCATTTTTGTTGAGTCATCCCCATTGTTTAGGGCATTACTGTAAGTTTTCACTTTCTTCCTCATAAGGAAGATGAAGAAGAAATTTTTGATTTAAATCAAGGTTCGCAATATCGTACCGTACCGGTATTTTGACTTGGGCTCGGTACCGGTACGATATGGTATACCGAGCGGTATATCCAGGTATACCGAGTACTGTAGTACTGTTACAGTGCTACAGTACACTACTACAGTGATATAGTACACTTGGATCGGTAACAGTCGGTCCACCTATCGATAACCTGTCGAACCGGTATGTATCGCTTATACCGGGCGGTACGGCTCGATATGACAGATCCTGATTTAAATAATGAGATATAAAGAGAAAAAGTAAGTAGAAAATAGAAAAAATGATACACTATTTTGATGCTTAAATAATATTTATAAAAATATCAAAAAAATCTCTAAAATAGAAAACTAGTGGTCTAAGATCATTTTGAAAATTAAAACTAAATTATTTTTTAAGAATTCGTTCTACTAAAAACGTCATAAATATATTTATAACAATGGGATAGGACAAGCCATGTGGGGCCCACCAATGGGATAGGACAAACTGCCATGACGCACCCGTTTGTCCCGTCCGTTGCGTCCACGTCGTCTAATCAGGATGACGGAATTCGTGATCCCTGTCCATCGAAAAACTCCAAGCAGCTTTCATTGTTTCTGGCTGCGACGGTGGGCTCCACTGATTGACGCTGATCTGGAAGCTCCTGCGCAGGGGTCGACCGCGGTCGGCGTCCGCGCAGGCCCAACGCCTCCTTGCTTTCAAGCTGACTCGACCTTAACGTACTCCGCAAGCAGCAGAGACCTTCCCGCGTAACAAACCAACGAAGATTGTGAGAGAATGATGGTGTGGACGGTCAAGATCGTCCCGGTTTCGTCATGGGGCTTCGTTGGAGGGTGTGAAAAGCATTTCACGGTCCTAATAAATCGTGTTGGTAACGCCTCTCCACCTGACGTCCCCCCCTCGGTCGCCACTGCCAGCGATAGGTGGTCCTTCATGAGCCCTCGGGAACCCTAACCCTTCGTGCCGTCCCACCATCGACAGCCAGGTTCGCGATGGATAACGGGGGTGTCGACGGCGCAACGGCGGCGGGGCGATGGCGCTTCGGTCCCAACGCGTCGCTGGCGAGCGTCTCCGCCTCCAGCATCCGCGCGGTCCTCGATAAGGTCATCGCCAATATCCGGGACGACGGCCCCCGACCGGTGCTCCCTCTCGGCCACGGCGACCCCTCCGCCTTCCCGTGCTTCCGCACCACCGCCGTGGCCGAGGACGCCATTGTCGCCGCCGTCCGATCCGCCAACTTCAACTGCTATGCCCCCAACGTCGGGGTTCCTCCCGCTCGACGGTGATTCTCCCTGAAAACAATATCACCGTAATGGAAAGACCAAGAAAGAAACAAATGAAAAATTTTCGTCCATCTTCGTTATTCTTTTGTGCTCCGTTGCTTTGTCTCAGTTCTGTTTGTTATTCATGTTGTTGCCTCGGTAATCTAGAGTTTCTATTGATGCTTAGTTATTTCTGAAGCTGGATTCAGTGCTGCTCTTAAAAAGATGATATTTTGATTAAAAAGACAGTTCTTTTCGAAGAATATTCCATCTTCCAGACGATTCATATATCGTTCTTTTGGTTTTGTTTTGTTCCTTTTCATGGTTGGTGTCATTTCTTTACACGAAATGCCATTCCTTGTAACATGTTCTTTATTTGGTAGTGATCGCTATCATATGCTTTAAAGTTTTCACTGGTTTCTTGTATGGTTAATGTTCTGACGCTCTGGGCCTGATGATAGCGCTATCGCGGAGTACCTTTCACGTGACCTCCCTTATAAGCTGTCGACCGATGACATCTTCCTCACCGCGGGCTGCAGCCAGGCAATCGAGATAGCACTTTCTGTACTTGCCCGTCCGGGTGCGAACATACTGCTGCCTAGACCTGGATTCCCATTTTACGAGGCTCGAGCTGGCGTTAATGGTCTAGAGGTTCGCCATTTTGACCTACTCCCAGAGAAGGGCTGGGAGATTGATCTCAAAGCTGTGGAAGCTCTGGCAGATGAGAACACTGTCGCTATGGTGGTCATCAACCCTGGTAACCCCTGTGGGAATGTTTTCACCTATCAGCACTTGGCAGAGGTTAGTTTTAGATGATGAAACTCTGATCCTGTAAGTTCGACTAATGTGGCAGATCTTGAAAATATTAAATCATAAAATGTGGTCATTATTTTTCAGGTAGCCAACACTGCAAAGAGACTTGGCATAATGGTCATTGCAGATGAAGTGTATGACCATTTGGTTTTTGGGAGTAACCCTTTTGTGCCAATGGGTGTTTTTGGGTCCACTGTTCCTGTCCTTACCTTGGGGTCTATATCAAAGAGATGGGTGGTGCCTGGTTGGCGTCTTGGGTGGATTGTGACAAGTGACCCAAATGGTGTTTTCAAAGAAACTAAGGTGATTGCCATTCTTGGTTAGATACAACTCCTAAGCATTTCTAGTTAGGTTCAGTACCTTCTTGAGGTCTATTCTTCCTAAACAACCTGTTGGTTTTAAAAAGGATGATCTTTTTGGAATTTTTTTTTTTCAATTGACGATGACCAACTATCCTTCTTATAATTTTTTTCATTTTTCAAGTTTAGAAAATAACCTTCATACTCATTTTTAATAAAAGATCTTTCACTTTATATAATTTAATATTATGACCAAACTCAAAAGAAGACTTAAATTATGCTTAAAATGAGATCTTACAACACCTTACTATCTAAAAAATGGATGATATATCAACCAAGCTTGAGTGGAATATTTATAGACCCTAAAATTTTTTTAAAATATAATTAAAATTTTAAATTTTCAAAATTTTGACACAAGCTGCAAATCTATACTTCGATGGTATCACCTTCGCAAAATTTGAATTTCAAGTGGTACCATCGTTGTCCTATGTGGTATTATCACTTAAACTGATGGTACTATCATCGATAGTACTGACCAGGGTCTGTCGTACCAAGCTGTACCGTCCGGTACGGGCGGTACATATCGGTCCGATAGGTTGTCGGTACGCGGACCGACTGTTACCGGTCCGAGAGTACTGTAGTACTGTAGAACTGTAGCCGTGTACTATAGCACTGTAGCAGTGCTACAGTACTCGGTACACCTGGGTGTACCGCTCGGTATACCGTACCGTACCGGTACCAAGCCCAGGTCGAAATACCGGTACGATACGGTATTGCGAACCTCGGTACTGATAATATTTCTGTATTATCAACTGACTTAGGCGGTACCATCGCATGGGCCTGGCGGCACCACCACCCAGGCTTGGTATAGGCCATTTCTTTAGCCTTCTAATGGGCCCAATTTTGGCCCAGACTCAAACCTAAAGATTGCTGTAAGCTTGGGCTCAAAATTATCCTGACAATGACTTAAATTTATATAAAACACTTTGATCTCGATTTAATAATTTCATCCAGTATAACATCGAAGCTTTTGCCATGTCTTCTGATCTTACAACCCTTTATATGAACCTTTGACACATTATCTTAATATCGACATATCGTTTGCTCCTTCCGGCATATCGTTTGGTCTTCCACAATAATTTAGTTGCACTTTATTTTTGTCTCAGTTGAATCCAATTTAGATTGATATTTCTGGTTCAGAATTAAATAAATATGGAAGCCTTGAGGTCAATGAACATGTGTTATATAGTTGACTGAGGTGTTTTTAAGCTTAGAAGTTAAGATAATAAGGAGCAAAGGGATAGAATATATTAGGTTATCCAACCTATCTGTATGTTCAATGAACATAACCTGCAATGTTTAAAGTACAATCTGAACCATTCATTAAATTCGTGCTAAAACCAGTGAATTTATTGGCATAACAATACCTTTTGGGTTTAATTGTTATTTTGGAGTATGGTAGCTTGGATTTCTTATTGCCTTTGTTAAGCAATATGAATGAATACTTACATGCTTCATTCTTTAGATTGTTGACAGTCTCACAATCATGCTGAATATCACAACAGATCCTGCAACCTTTATTCAGGTAAAACAATGCATCCCTTATTCTTGATATAAACTGAGAATCTTAATTGTAATCATGCTGTAGGACATCTCTACAAATTCAGAGAAGCCAAAAAGGTTGTTAGACATGTAATAAGAAGGTAAAATTAGTGGCAATGCATTGGTTGTTCACTTTGTTAGTGTTTATGGCCACTGGATGGCAAAATTGCTGAAGGTCAGGAAATTTGGGATCTTTTGCTGAAAATACAATGGCTTGAAAGTTATTAGCAAACCTAAACCTCATTGCTTCAATGGCCTCCTTTCCCACACCAACCCCTTCTTCTCTGCCCTCTGAGTTTTCTTCTGACCATAAAATTACCAATAGCTGTCAAAGCAAATGGAATAGCAATTATCCTAATGATTTGGGTTCGATGCCAGCAACTGTTTTACCGTTAAGCACCATTTAATATCACTATACAGTTTTGGACCATATTGTTTATCTTTGTTATATAACCAAATCTGCTTTTGCTGCTCTACATGAATTTACTCATCTTTATGACATTTATAGGTTCTCCTTGATTTTATGACAACCTTAAATGATTGTTTGTCGTGCTATATTCAATCAGTATACTTGCATCGTGTCATGATTTTTGTTATAATATTCACTTCTTCAGAAATATATATATATATATATATATTATTTTTTTGGGGCGACATATATATATATATATATATATATGTATGTATATATATATATATGTATGTATATATATATATATATATATGTATGTATATATATATGTATGTATGTATATATATATATACATATATATATACATATATATATATATATATATTTTGTCGCCCACCATTGTTGCCGATCGGGTATTTTCCTCCCTCCACTGCCTCCTCTCCATCTTCCTCTTTCTCTACTTCTTTCTCTACTGTCTCCTCTTCTTTATTCCTTGTGTTTCGTCCTCTTCCTTCATCGCCTCCTCTTCTTCCTTCCCCTTCCTCCTCCTTTCTCCTCTTCTTTGAATCTTTGATACATACTGATGTACCGTTTATTGGTACACCGATATCGATTGGTTTGTATTGGTTCGGCTAGGGACCTCTTTTTTATCCAAAAGAGCAAAATGGATTTCGACTGCTTTGCTAATTTTAAGACAAAACAATGTAGCCACTTGTATGTGAAGAATTATTCTTTTATCTTTGACACTTGTATTTGTGTGAAGGACCTCTTTGTTCTCCAAAATTCACCTCATTATTTCTCTAGAAATGGTATCTTAAAATTCCTCCAGATGGATAAAGTTTGCTTTTTTTCTTTATATTTCCTATTAATGGTCATCACTATTACATTGTTATGTTGGTTGATTCTGTTGTCCTAAGACATGGTTAAGTATTCAAAAAGTCTTTTTTATTATAATCATTAATTACTCTTTCCTGATGTTCTTTAATGTGGATCATTAAGTTTGCTCTTACTGATGTTCTTTAATGGTTTTTGTTTGAAAACAATGATCTTCATGTTTTTTTTTTGGTGAAATTTCCAAGAAGACATTCAAGAAAAAACATGTTTATTTAAACTTATTCTTTTGCCTATGAATATAAGAAGTCATTTATCTCTCGTTATCGTGTATTGAATAGATTGTCCCTTTTTGTTTTGTTTTGTTTCGGTGGACATTTTTCCAGTTTAGTTTGGTATAACCTACAATTTACTCTTTCAGGGAGCTATTCCTCAAATCCTTGAGAACACCAAGGATGATTTCTTTGAGCAAACCATTAATTTGCTGAGGAAAACAGCAGACATATGTTATGACAAAATAAAGGAGATTGATTGCATTACATGCCCTCGTAAACCAGAGGGTTCTATGTTTGTAATGGTGAGACCCATTTTCTTTTGAGCATCTGTTTTTAATTGCACTTCTGTTCCAATATCCAGCCATCCATCTACGTGGCACCACATTTTAGTGGGGCATGCTATGATGGATGAGTTGATCTAGGCAAGATGGGATTTGAAAGTAAGAGGGATCAGAGCCAAATCTCAGAAGAATTTTACTTGTATCAAAGTTCTTAAGTCGATGGTATGTGATGCAGGCAAAGCTGAATTTGTCTCACTTGGAAGGCATCCATGATGATATTGATTTCTGTAGTAAGCTAGCCAAAGAGGAGTCTGTTATAATACTGCCAGGTGAGCAACGTTTGCTAGGAGTAAGTTTTCACTTGATGTTTTATATATCCAACCCAATATTAGATTTATTATTTGTACAGTCCATATAAGCCAAGGTTCGCAATATCGTACCGTACCGACATTTCGACGTTCGATCGGTACGGTACGAAACGGTATAACCAGCGGTATACCGCCTGGTATATATATATATATATATATATATAATTTAAAAGGCGACGTTGCATTGTCTCGGCGACGTCGTCTCGTTTATATATATATATATATATATATATATATATATATATATATATATATATATATATATAATTTTATTATTATTTTTTGTTTCGTCCGGTAGCGAGTGGTCCGCGTACCGGTATGTCGTTGGACCGATACGTACCACCCGTATCGGGCGGTATCATTTGGTATTACCCAGTGTCTGTCGTACCGAAGCGTACCGGCCGTACCAGGCGGTATGTACCGGTCCGCCAGGTACTCGGTACGCGGACCACCCTATACCGCTACAGTGCTACAGAACTACACTGTAGCACTGTAGCAGTGCTACAGTATCGGTACACCAGGGTGTACCGCCCGGTATACCGGTACCGTACCGTACCGAGCCCGGGTCGAAACTCTGGTACGGTACGATATGGCGGACCTTGGTATTACCTACCTTGATATAAGCATCAAATTCAGATTTATCCATTGACCTTTTATTGATCAACTGCATGTAGGTTTGGTCATCAGTGCCTCGTAATTTACATGTCCAAATTCAGATTTATTCTTTGACCTCATATGATTGATATGGTAATTACAAATTTATATCTCCATTTATTGAAGATTTGTTTGATCATTGCACCTATTCTTAAAAAAAATCTACAATTATGACATATGGTATACATATTAAATTAAAAAAACACTCCGGCTATAACTGAGTTCTCTATGGTACACATGAAATTTTGTGTAACACTTTCTTTTGATCATCTTTGGTTGTTTACTGCATTAAGACTGTTCGTAAACATCGCTTTGTTTGTTTTCTTTATTGACAATGCTGTCATATATGTTGCTGAGGACCATGTCGAACCAGTCTCTCTTCTTGTAGCTTGTTTCTTTTTATTTGCTAATTCTTATCAGTGTAAGTTTTGTGCTTGTTGTTAGTATTGCTGTAAGTAAAAGATTTACCACTTTGAGGTTCGGTGCAGGGGTAACAGTGGGGATGAAAAATTGGCTCCGAGTAACATTTGCGATGGACCCTTCTTCTCTCGAAGAAGGTCTTGGTAGGCTCAAATCCTTCTGCCACCGGCACACGAAGAACAGCACATAAGCAGGGACCAGTAAGTAGTCTACTGGGTTGGTGATCAACAACTCAACTCCACAAAATAATTGTAGTTGCATATGGTGATCAGAAAAACAAGCAAGCAGAGATATCTTAGTAGGCTTGCAAGATATGATGTTCAGCAACCCATTGTTGAAACTGCCTTGTACATCCTACTTGCAGATTTATGTGAGGTTATTATTATGTCATGAATTTGGTATCTTTCTAAATACAATAAACTCCAGAGTTCATATTTTTTATGGTCTTTCATTTCTTTCAGGAATTGTTGGTTATTTCCTATTCATTTGTCATCTCAAGTGATTGATAGATGAATTATTGGAGAAAACTGAGAACTTTTGGCAAGTGAAATGTCCATTTATTTTGGTTAAGGATTCATATGTTAGATTATATGGATCTTAGATAAGATATATTATGAATATGATTAAATTTTGATTATGGTTATTGACCAATAGAAAAAAAATTTTAATTATGATAGAATTTCTTAAGATATGATGTTGATGGGAAGAATTTTCTTATTTACTTATCTTAGACTCTCTACTCCCGACTATAAAATTGATAGTATCTCTTACACGTCGATATATGGGTATGCGAATGTGTTGATATATGATATGATTAAGAGATACGAATGTATTGATACATGACATGATTGAGAGATTATAGATCTTCTCTCAATCAATAAGAGATTATTAATCTATTCTTATATTTTGAGTGCACATATCTTACTCTATGAATCTCCAACCAAATCTTTTGATACTATCAATTAGCCAACAAAGATTGCTGTATGTACACAATCCAATGGGTTTGCATGTCATCAGCTGCATAAACACGTAATGTGAGTGAGTAAAATGTTCGAAATTGAGAATTTAATCCAAGATTCAACCCCATGTACAGCTAAGAACGATGCCTACTCACATAAAGGCATTTTATGCAACACAAAAACAACTTGCTCACTAAGGGAAGTACATACACAACTATATACTAGTTTTACAAAAGGTGGACCTTCATCTCTGCTTGCTAAATCGACAAGTGTCATCTTTTCAATAAGCTGAAGCATGATGAAGAGACATTCCAAGCAAAAATTATGGGTGCAATCATCAAAGTTGAAGCCTGGATCACCAAAGCATGGTTAGATATGAACTTCCAGCAAGTACAAAAGGAAGATGCAAAGGATTTGATACTGGTTGACAGCAAAAAGTTGCGGTGACTTACCAGAATAAAGATGACCAAATTGTTGGCAAGACCTGCAGTGAGCTCATGCATTTTCATCTCATGTTTAATAAAACCTTGTAGCTGAAAGAAATGAACTGATATTTATCAGGTCAAGTTTAAACTTCAAAGACGATGATTAGTAATGCATCTAACAGGGAAAGAATCCAGCATCATGTTAACTGATTGAAGTTTCATCAGCCAAAAGAATTGACCATTATGAACAGAACTAACCTTACCTTGAACTTATCAGCCAAAGTCCCTTAGATTGATCACCGAGAATATTATAGTTTGGTAGCATTGGTTCCAGTGTAAAGGTATTCTCACTCCAGACTTTTGAACAACATTAAGGAGCATGAGGCAGCTAGTTAACATATTGATGGGGAGGGAAAGGACTGCAACCAGCAAGATATCTGAGGGATGAAGGATATGTGTGCGGTATGAATTGACTAGTCATTTGAAGCATACTTACATGAGCATAGTTCAGTGGACACTACGAAGGAAGTTTAGTCTAGGTTGCAATATAAACATGTTGGAAAAATTGCACAAGGAATAATGTTAGATGTAGCTAGTATTGCCACACGGGAAATTCTTAAGGATACTGATGTCCTACTTGGAAAGCCTAAGTAGAGTTTTGTTATATTTCTTATCAATCATAAAGATGACTCCATCAAGCAGAACCCCAAAAAAAAAGGCCTCAGGAAGCATTTCAGGTTGAAGAGAATATACAGAGGAGAGGAAAAGAGAAATACACAGCATACAATGTTTTACTTATAAGAAGCATAAACAAAAGGCTGAAAGCTTGTAACCACTTTTTTTCATATCTCCAGAAGTTGGATGCTATATCCGTATAACTCAAGTAGTCTGAAACTTCTGGAATATGACAGTATCTAGCAGGTGCAAAAGCACAAAACAAATCCTGACATGCAAGGAAGCCATCGTATATAGTAATGCTTGCAGCTGATTATGTAAAAAAGTTATTCACTGATATGCTAAAAGAGCTTCATGCATGAGATAAACACTATTGTTTTAGTGAGAACAAAAAATTATAAGAAATTCCAGAAACAAAAGAATTTGCATCACAAATACTTATCAAACAAAGCCTTATCATTATAGGATATCCTATCCTGATATCATTGGTTATATTTACAGATGCAGAAATATCCAGATATTAGAATGGTAAAAGCAATCCACACAGATAAGAAACTATATCTGACAATCAATAAGAGAATAATGTGAAAGACTAGCACCTCATAGTGAAATTCTTGAGCAACTGACATCAGGAGTTTGAGCTGATTGTATGCTTGAGATATAGAAGATTTTGAAAAAGAAGCCCTCAGAAAGAATGAATCAGGTAGATTAACTTCTGAGAGATGAAATCGACAAATGCCCCTGATGAATCGCACAACCTAGCATGACATTGGACTAATCAGGAACAACCGATCCAAAGTCTGCTATCAGCATCAACTAGGAAGATGTCAAAACAAAACAATTTGATCTTCCAGTAGCACCTATTCTTGCCTACTACAACTTCCAAAAATTTGCAATTGAATGTATTAAACCATTTGATAAGCAGAAAAAAATCTAGCCTGCAACTGCAATCAGCACGACAGAATAAAAGGCTCAAATAAACTTCACATAGTTTATTAAATTATGTGAAGCACCAAAACATATTCCTTGTTGTTCAAAGTTCAATTGAAAAATCCTTGATTCTACTACTGTATGTAACTTAATTTCAACAAAGTGCAACAAATTTGAGATCTTTCAACAAACTTCTATAATTTTATATTATCCTATTCCAATGATGATGATGTGATTCACAACACTGAAACATGGTATACCATATACATGTTTTCCGGACTTATAATTTTTAATATTTCATAGCTTAGTTAGAACCAAATTAATTAGACACAAAAGTTTGTCCAAAATAATGTAATATTTGAAACCAAAGGACCATCTCTAGTTGCATTATTTAGACTATCAGCAGAAATGAAAGTCCAATATTCAAGTACCTTGCTCATGGCAAACTTGCTAGGCCTTCTACTTCTGTTCATATCTTTTTGTAGACTTCTTCTAAGAACCTTTGATGTCATCATCTAGGTAACAACATAGGAAATAGATAAGCTTATAGTTAATAACTGGAAGTATTCAGCAAGTATGTCCATGGTAAAACCACATATACTGCAGTAACAATGTACCTTTGTTAATTGAAATGCCTGCTCTAATTGCCGTATTTGAATCCATTGTTCTGTAACAATACTGTCCATCTGGTCATAAAAGTACCAAAGTCTAATAATTTATTTCATATAAAAATGGTTTTGACTTCATCAAAATGGAGTTTAGAAAATAAGAATTAATTTTCATAAAGATAATAAAAGAGTTAAAAACTAAATTGCATCTTGAAAGCTCCTGCAGGAATAATTTTACTCAACTGCATGCTATGTCTCATCTTATTTCAGAAATATCACATAGGTGATGTTAAAAGATATTTATGTTGTTTGTTAAGCTAATATCATAGGAAAACAATTTGATTAGCTAAAAGTAAAGATGTGGAATTTTATAACTTCTCATTGATAGAAGGCTAACCAAAACTAATATGAATTCACTTTACTTTTTATTTGAATGTCCTACAAGCATCTTCAGGTCTAGGTCAAACATATACAACTGCTTCCAAATGAAAGGTTACGCTCTCTTTTAAACAAAAGGATAACAAATGCGAGATTGTGTATCAAAATTATACACTTTATTCCTGTACATCAATAAACTAAATGTATCACCCTATCATTTAACTATGTAGTTGGGCTATTATATAGAAGAACAATTGGTATTCAGTATGCTAATTGTTTATCATGATTTGTCAAGGTGGCAGATGTATCCAAATTTCAAATGGGCTTTTAACTTCTTTGCCCTTGATTGACCCTTTCTGATGAAAAAGATTTTTGAATCTAAACTCCCACCTACTTGTTTGAAGTTAGTTTAACTTTTATCCCTGGTTTCAAGATGGTTTTAACTGTCTCTGGTGGAAAATTCTACATAGCCCAAAGACCATTATTAAGGTACATACTGCATGCCATACCATACCAGCAATGACATGTATTTCCAACCCAGCAGCATGACCTTGAGTCCTCATATAATTTAACAGTCCAAAGACCAGGATGTCCCAGTAGCTAATTCCACAATTTCAAAAGTTTGTTCTGCATTGTCTAGGACAGGCCAATATGTTCAGAAATGTTCATTCTGCAATATTTTGAAATCCACAAGATATAGCTATCCTGTAATTCGAAAAAAAAAAAAATTGAAGCAACCAATAAAACCAGTGACAACAGTGATGCATTTTATTCTTACAGCATAATTTTCACATCAGCATTCTTTTTTACTGAAATATAATGCTAAAAACAAGCACATATGACTAAAAAAAATGACCTTTTTGATCTCATAATCTGTGACCTCAATTTTTTGGCTTGCATCATCTGCTGATGACTCTAAAGTCTGGATGTTATTCTCATTCTTCATTGACTGCTCCAATAGAAGTTGAACCTGCAAACAATTCAAGTTCATGTATCAAAAGAATAGATAGCTCAAAGACAGCACTCGAGAGTTGAATTCAAAGATATTGGAGTACAAGCACAACAAACTGAGAAGCATGCTCCATGTAACAACAGACTCATTCCCACCTACCACACAGGCATACATCATGCAGATATATTCATATACAGTTGAATGAAGGAAAAATAAGAGAGAGAGAGAGAGAGAGAGAGAGAGAGACCTCTTCTTCCAGAGCACTAATCCGGTCTTCAGCTTTTAATAAGTCACTAACTGATCCCTGCAAGAAACAACTTAATATAGTTATCATCCATCCATTGACTACCTACCTATGTCACAAGCTAAATTATTGAAAGAAAATTAATTCGTGAATCAATTAAAAGATACAGATTATGCCCACTAAAGAACAAGACCTTAATTTTTCCTTTCTAATCATGATTTAAACAACATCAGAAATCATTTCTCAGTTCTCTACTAATCCATGATGGAAATGTAGGTTGACAGGTCAATTAAACTTAAGCACAATAAACTGAAAATAACCACTTTGAATATGGAACAAATAGAACATGGCAAAAATTTCCTTAGACTAGAATTTTTGGACCAATTAATATGCTTATGTTAAGCTGACAATTGAACATAAATTCTTCAAAAATCTTCTGTTGATGCTTCACAACTTTTAGTAGTGTTCTACAATTTAATCCCTAACAAGGCTGCATTTAGTCTCATAATGATTGAAGAGTAGGGAGACTCAATACCCTATAAAGAGCCAATACTCAATACCTCAATAAATTCTTCAAAAATGCTCTGTTGATGCTTCACAACTTTTAGTGGTGTTCTACAATTTATTCCCTAACGAGGCTGCATTTAGTCACTACAATACCTTCAGAGTTTCTTTTAGGGTCCACCATGAAAGGGCAAGACAGTATGAGATTAATCCCAGAGCCAATAATTTCTTGCAGGTCAGAGTACTTGCACTAGTCATCGACCTCACTAATCCCTAGTGTTAATTTTTCATAAATTATCTTCTTGACATAATTATTGTTTTATTATTTAATAAAACAAAGGTTTTTAGTTTGCTCCAGACAATAATGGGTAAGTGTGATGTAGTGGACCTCTAAAAAATTAAGCAAAGGAGATGGAGACTAACAAGGTATCTTTAGAGAAAATTTCAATATAAAGGAGGCACTACACAGGTAAAAAGGATAGGGATAAGAAGAAAAAGAGTAGTAGTCAAAATAAAATAGTGCAAGTATGAGCAAGGGAAGGAAACAACAGGAGGGGAGTAGGAAATTCTACAAACTTAACTACAAAAAGGAGAAGGAAAAAAAAAGGAGAGGGTGGCAAACTTAAAGGTTGCAACATCAGTTAGGTCAACCTCAATCATCGAAACCCAACACATCTTGAGAAAGCTTGGGTCTGCTAATCAAATTGAACCAAGCTTTTGCTGCGAAAATATAACTAGAAGCTCGGTCAACTTCACTTCAATCAGTCGAACAACCAATCCAACTGTCTACTCATAGGACATACAAGTCAATTAGATATGAACCTTCAAGAATGAACTCCCAATTACCCCTTCATCCAACCTCACCACCGTTGAAAACCACTTCAAAATCTCTCCATCTATATATGGCAATAGATTCGAATCTGTAATAGCGTCATATATCCATTCCTCTATGTCATGTCACAAATCTCTTGACATTATTGTTTCCGACCATTGTTTATATTCATAGACCATTATTACCATTCGTATTAGCCCCAGGCAGGGGCATTGAATTGCAAAATGTGATGATACTAAAATGCAAAAGGTGCTTCCAGATCCTTCCCCTAATGCTACACTTAAGAGCTTAAGAGTTCTTCCATTTGCAACATTCTACAAACCAGTATTTTAAAAAGCACTAGGCGCCAAAAGACGCCAAGGTCTCAAAAAGCTTGAGGCACTAGGCATTGGCACAAGTGAAGCAAGGCGTTTCAAAATATTAAAATATAAAAGCTATATATTATAATTCATAAATATGATCATAGAAATAAAAATAAAAATACCACATCAAATTGAAATCACATAGCCGACTTGAAATATATATTACAAGATTTAATTCTTTGACTGCTATGCCTAACTTGACTCATAATTTGAGCTTAATCCCATTCGAGAGGATGATTTCTGACCCAAATCTAGAAATAGATGAGTCAATTGGCATCTTGACGCAACGGAATTAGAAGAAGAGTGCTATTTATTGTGTCCATCACAGATCGCGTCTTGGGCGTGAGAAAAGGTATACCGTGAAAGAGAAAGAGAGAGGAGAGATATCACATCTTCCAACAAGTCTTCTCCCTCCCATCCACCGCCTTCAAAACCTTATCTTTTCATCTTCTAATGAGATCACTTTTGCGTTTTACCCTCCCATCCATCGCGTCTTTTGCCATTGCATCCCCCCATCTTGCTTTTAAAATCGTAGCTTTTTGCCTTCTAATGAGATCACATCTTCTGCCCTCCCATTTGCCACCGAGCACAGATCGATTCTCTGTCGCCGAGCACTGATCGATTCTATTATATTCGCCTTCAGGTTAGTGCCCCTTTCTCTTCCAATTTCTTGTCTTACGCCACTTTTACTCAGGCGCTTGCCAGAAGCGCTTAGGCGACGCTTCAATGAATTGCATTGCCTGGTCGTGCGAAGCCCGAGTGCCTGAGCGCCATAGCGCCTATTAAAAACACAGCCACAAACCCAACTAGCACAACCAAGTCCAAAGATAAATGGTTTCTGTTTTCACTCATTGGTTGTCAAATCAAGTTGTCATACAATAAGTTCCTTACACTCAAGATAAGTGATGACTTGGCTCTAAACCAGCCTCAAAACCCTATTCTGGACAAAGTTTAAGGATAGTGATATTATGTCCTATCAAATTCTTTGCAGTAACAATCTGACTGAAAGCCACCTGAGGAATGACCTGGGGATTAAACAAGCTGGTATTCACTTCGAAATTGCAAGCTGTTCTTGCTTCTTTTTCCTATTTGGTTCAAGTTTAAGAACGACACTAATGTTACTCTAATTGCTTATTTGGAACCATGATCAGAATCTAGGATGGGCAGGCTTGGAGATTAAGCATGCTACTATACATTTATGTAAAATGATGATCACGAGCTACTTTTTCTTTTTTTTCACATCATGTGAGAGTGGTGTAAAACCGCAATTCTTTTTCTAATGTATCATTCCATCATCAACATGAGAGTCGTACAGGGGCGTGTGACCTTTATCACTGGGAGTTTCTCCTTGAGTCAAAGTGAGTATGGAAGTTTTTTTCAGTTATCTACCATCATTCACTGCTATTGTTCTTTTACTTTGCCCCTCTCTTTCCCTTCTTTTATTCCCAATTTAGAAAATATTTCATTTACTTGTCATGAACTTGTCCTAAATAAAATTTGGTAACAAAACTTGTCGTACTCCTACGTCAATATGTTTAAGCCATGTATCAATTTAATGTTCAAATACAAAATGTGTACACATTGAAGTTCGTAAAACTTAAAACCTAAACAAAAATGCAATATGAATGTGTCCAAACAAAATGTAGTGCTGGGGACAATAAAAATGGTTGCTAAGGAATATCAAATGCATACCTTAATTTCATGTAGAGCATTCTGTAGAAGTTGGATTTTCTCTTCCATCTCCCCAATTAGCTTATACTTCTCTTCTAAATGAACTTCTTTGGAATTTATGGTTTCCATACTCTCTTCTAGAATCGATTCTACAATGTTTACCAACAACTCACTTAAATAAGTATAATAGAATTTTTGGAGTTCTACATATTTGACTTTTGACATCTTTATGATAACCAATTTCAAATGCATAAACATCATGACAAAATCTAGAGTATAATGGTATTCTGCAAAAACCTTTTGGATGACATCACAATTGCCAATTTTTGTTTCTTAGATGGAGAACTTGATTCTCCCAAGTTCATGACATTTTCCATGGCCCACCTAGTTTCACCGCAAATCAAGGCCTGGTGAACTACTCTGACAATGCTAGAATGTTGTCAGATACAACATAACTAATGTGAAAAATGCTATCTCGTATATCACGAACACTTTATCATCTTTCTGCTAGTTTCATATTATCCTGAGGTTCTCTTGTTTAACTACAATACTTCTGTATACACAAGAAAAAGGTAAGTAGTGTTGACCATATTTATGTTATTCAAGTCCCTTAAGTGACAATATATATTTCTAAGATTAGCTGATCCATCCTACTAAATGTCAAACTCTCCAATTCAATAAATGGATACTCTGGTCATTGTTCATGAATTGCGAAAAGGGTTAGCAATTTCAATCAGGAAATTAAAAGTATCAACTGATCAATGCTGATGATCTATTGCAACATTAAAAAAAAAAAAAGTTTCTATTCCACCGCATCTACATGCTTAGAAAGTATTATCTTTGATAATAAAAAGAAGTAGTGCCTGTAAAACTAAACTTGCTTGAAGAGTAAAATTCTTGGGTAGGATTTTAAAAAATGTTTCCCTAAAATCCCAGGGTCTCATAGAAAATCCCTATAAAGAATGGGAAATTTCTCAAAGACATTTGCTAATTTTACCTATTTTCAACATTTTCTTAGGTTAGAAACTTAATCTTCTCAACGGTAACAATTCTAAACAAAAATATCAACTATTACCATAACAAAAACATCTTTTGAATAGTAGCCAACGTAGTCCTAACTTTGGAATATCTTCTCTTTATCTAGAACACTTCTCATCTTTTGAATTGAAGCATACGTAATACGGAATCGCAATTGAACAAGGAGGGAGTGGGAATTATGCTTCAGGATGAACAACCTAATCGAGCAGTCTTGAGCCTCAGGTCCTCCATCTCGGAGATCAGGGCACCACTTCCGGAGGGCGAGGTGTCGGAGATCCCCAAGATGGCGGTGAGCAGGACAGCAGAGGAGGCGAGGAGGACGATGGATCGGGCCGATCCGGACCGGCCGAGGCCGCGCCATCTTCCTCTTCCTCGGAGGAGGAGACGGTAACCCAGGGGGAGGAGCCGGAGGGGGAGAAGAAGGCCCACGAGGGAGAGGAGGGCGTTGTCCAAGGTCAGGGAAGCCATCGACGTCTATGGGCTTTTCGTCGCCGTCTACAACCGCTTTCGTCAAGATCGAGATTGGAATCGAGTCCGTGTTTCGATTGGGTCGGATCGAGTCACCCTTAAAACAGTGGAAGGCTGACCACACACATGATAGTTTTCAGGGTTTGTTCGGCCCGGCTGCAGCACAGCAGTTCAACTCCGGACTCCTTATCACTCAACTGGTACTTGGCAGTTAACCCGAGCTGACTCACCAAGGGTGACTCGGTAAATATATATAAAACAAGAATTGAGGCAAGATATGACAGTTGCTCTTTCTTCGCATATCTACTAATCACACAACTTGATTGGCCATAGACATTTGTCTCCATCCTAACCTGTGATGCAACCTTACTCCTTTCATCTTCCTCCACTAGCTTCTCCATCATATCCTGTGATTGAATCATTCAATCAATCACATCCCAAGTCAATTCCCTACCTGCTACTCTATCCTACAGCCATGGGCTCACTTAGTAGTAGAATCTGTTTATCCATATATTCCAAAGACACCATGAAGGCAATCTGTTATCCATGTAGTCCATTTTAGCAGATCTTCACAGTAGAAGAGAGAGCAACTATGATCTCCGAGAGTTTTTCCACCACAATCAAATTTATCAACCTAGATCACGGCAAGCTAAATTTGAAGGCAATAAGAATACTGCTCAAGCTACAGGGCGTTCTTCATGGCTCCTACGAAAAAGTTCCCTACACAATGGTCAGATTCTCTTGTCACAGAAAGCCTAGCCAATTCAGTAGCAAAACCCTAGTTCAGATAGGGAGAAGTGCAGGAAAAACCATTATACTTGCGGACTTGTCTTTGATGCAGAAACCCTAGACTTGAGAGTGGCATCAACTACGTACGGAAAAGTTGATTGCGATGGAATGAGGATTTTACCATTTCCAGGCAATGATGGACCTTACCATTTCGGAAAACCCATGACGGTCAGAGACCCACCAAAGCTGTCGTCGGGCAATGTGATCCCCCCCATGGCCATGACGACATTACAAATGCATCAAAGGTGGTGCACGAGAATCAACAACCTAGATGCTGTGTGATGCATGAAGCTCATAGTTGGGTGTTGAGGACGGATCGAGACTTGACATGAAGAGAGCAACGTCTTCTGCTTGGCCGTTTCCGAGTGAAGCACAAAGGTCACACAGCCTCCCACAATCGTCCAAAACATGGTGGACTTAAATTGGATTCTATCCACTTTGTGTACGGAGAAGTATCCAACCATCGAATTCCTCTCATCTCCCATCTCGCATCTCAACCATACTTCCTGAGGGGACTCGACGAGTCAAAGACGGCTCCACCTTCAGAGCAAGAGACAAAAGACATAGAGTTGGGAGATAACTTGATCTGCACAAGTGGAAGAAGATTCAAGTCACGGATAATGCACTTAGAATAGTCGCCAGAGTATCATTTCATGGAAACAAGCTCTTGATGCAGGCAGTGGAAATGGACGACGAACATCATTGGCGGCGAAGAAAGCTTGTCCTGCACTTGGGGACACTTCTTTGTCCCCATGTACAGCATTGGGTGATCATCTCAAGCAGTTCATGAATCATGCTTCGGATGCCCGAGCTGGAACAGGAGATCTGGTTGTCGTCCCATGGAGGCAGGCCAACGTGATGAGGGACCGGGACACTTGGGAGGCCGGCAGAAGGTAACAAGACCGCGGCATCGGACGGCCAAAATCAAACGACACAAAACACATCGTACCATGATTGAAGCTGGGAATAGGACTGCACAAGGAGAGAGACACATTAATTCTCATCAGCATCACATTTCTTTGGTACCTCCTCCTTAGACTTGGGGTTTGGGGCTCATTAAAGGTGACCAGATGATTAGAATCCTTATCCTTTGTTAGATGCATCACTTCACGGGGGAGCTCAGTAACGTTGTGAGGAAGGTAGCGATAGTGACGACGAACAGTATCAGTAAAAAGAAGGCATGTCATGAACTCAGGAGCATTTTGTTGTTGTTGTTGTTGTTGTTGTTGTTTGCGATCACGCGTCTTAGCTTAATTATGCTGCAGTATCCTGTTGGCTTCCTGCACAACTCTAGAAAGAAAAGAAAAAGATAATAATAATTAAAATATACTTTCGATCTATAGTGGACATGTATTTATATTAACCAAAAAAATAAAATATAAATTTTTAAATAAGAAAGAAATCAATTATAACTTAATAAATCTTCTCATCCTTATTCATGTACCAAAAAATCAATCACTTATCTATTTATCTTAATCTAAATTCTTATCTTTTGTTATATCTAATCCTAATTATTTGAATTAATTTTATCACACCTCCTTAATTCAAAATAGTTGTAACTTGAAGTTGTTTATAGAAAAAATAATTTTTTTCTTTTGCTAAAGCTTTTGTAAAGATATCAGTAAGCTAATCTTCGATGTTGCAGTAATACATAAAAATTTTTCTTTATCAACCAGTCCACAAATAAAGTGATATAGAACTTCGATGTGTCTAGTATGCTCATGGAAGATAAGTTTCTTCGTCAAGTAATAATAGACTTATTATCATAGCAGATTTTAGTTAGTCTATCTTGTTTTTCTTGAAGATCTATTAAAATTCTTTAAAGTCAAATTGTTTGACACATCATACTTAGAGTCGTAACATATTTCGCTTTAGAGCTTGAGAGAGCAACATATTTGTACTTTTTTTGTTATCCATGAAATCACCCTGGAGCCAAGATTAAGACTTAGAATTATTTGCCCCCATGAAAAGAAGAAATTGGACTTAAGTGGGTGTATAAGATCAAATTTAATAATAAAAAAATATAAAATCTATTTAGTTACTAAAGGCTATGTTGAAATTTCAGCTCAAATATCAATATAATAATTTTGTACTAAAAATCTTTTTCGATATATCTAATTTTGTTATGATAAAAATATTAATGAGTTTCTTTATTACTTTAATTAGAGTTCCTTTGACTCTCATTTGATCAACCTCATCTCCTACCTAAGTGTTGGATTATCCACAACTCCTATCATTCTGATGTCTTCATTGAGATCTAGTCTTTAATTTTTTTTTTTATCCTTCTAATCTATTTTTATTTGAAGAGCATATTATTAAATTTTATCTGAAGATTTATTTACTTTTTGTTCATGAACTAAAAGCGACTCATTAATTCATCAACAAACAATATACTTGTATTTTTATATTCTTCTATAGTAGTAGGAATCATATCAAAATTTAAAGATAAACTTTGTAAAACTTTTTCTACTATTATTTGATCTCTTAGGTTTGCACCATAAGACCTCATTTAGTTTATAATAGAAGAGACTTCTAAGAAAAAAATTAGTGATAAATTTAGAATCTTTCATCAGTTTCAAATTCACGTGGAATAATTTAAAATTTTAAAGTTTTTTACTTTACTGTACCTCCAAACATACTTTTTAATATTTTCTAAGCTTCTATTGATGTTGATCGATATAATTCAAAAAAATAAGGACTCTAGTATATAGAGAGCTCATGCATCTTTCTGTATATTCTCATTTATATGATCTTCAGTAATATTAGATCCTGCATATTATACTCAATAAAATTATTTTATACCAAATTCATCCTCGTGAACTAAATAGTGTTCTTATTTTAACAGTCTAAAACTGATAATTTTTATTTTTGAAGATAGGAAGAAGTTGATTAGAAACACTTACTCCAATATCTACTATTTATTTATTTTTTTTTGAATTTATTTATTTTTCTTTTTTAATGGACTCGATCTTCTTGGAACTAGGTTTTGATATCACATTTGTTGACTTAAACTTCAAGAAGAAAGGGAAGAATATAGTAAAAAGGAACAATAAGTATTTTCAATCTACATGGACTCATCTAAGAACACATACATATGTTAGCCAAAGGAATAAAATATATTTTTTTTAAATAATAAAAATACTAGTCATAGTCCAACAAATCTCCCATCCTCATCCTCATCCATACCAAAAGACTAATCACTCATCTATTTATCTTAATCTAAATTCTTATTTTTTATTATATCTAATTTTAACTATTTGAATTAATTTTATCATATTCATTCGTTGGCCATAAAGCTTAGTCGTAATATAATTTCTACAAGGAAAAATATATGAACTCAAGATATGTTTGAGAGTGTTAACAACATTATTAAATTTATCTTATCATATCTATCACCTTAAACTTTTAGCTGAGCCAATAAGATCATAACTATCACCTTAAGCTCTCCAGTTTGCTAAAGGCATGTTTTTAGCTGTACCAACTCCACAACTAGTCTATGCCCTTCGAAAGGTCAGCCAACCTATTCTCCTCGCACAGTATGAGTACTGCTTACAGCCCTCGTGAGGAAGAAGAAGAAGAAGACAAAGAAGCAGTGAAGGGCACAGGTCAGAAATGACTTGAAGAACAATGTTACTGCTTCCCACGGGCAGACTAAAGGCAGTGGAGGGTGCTGTCGTAGCCATAAGCAAATTACTTTTAGAAACAAGTAGTGGCACGTGAAAGATTATCCTGAAATATATCCATTTGGCTCTTTGTGATCTCAGAATTTTCTTTTGTTCTTCCTTGTTGATTGGTAAGACATCGATAACGCCGAACTGCATGCGAAGTGATAATACTTCTGTAAACCTCTTGTAGTCAGCAGTGTCAGTAACATATTGTTCTTCCTTTTGTCACCTTTGAGTCATTTGGTCAACAAATCTACTAATTCATGTTTATTTTTCCTGCTCATCTCTCTCTCTCTCTCTCTCTCTCTCTCTCGATCGATCGATACTCTCTTTTGTCGTGCGCCAGTTATTTCGTGTCCCCTATTCCTTTGCACTGTCTTTTTCCGTCCATCTTCGACACTCCAATTTTTTTATCCTTTGCTTGTCTTCCTCCGTCTCCATCTGTCATCACTTCCTACTGTTCTTGCTCGTCCCCTCTCTTTCATAAACATTAATCATCTCATCTTGTGGTCCATAGGAAGCATAAGGCTCTTTTCAGTAACTTGTAGCCTTTGAGTGACCTCTACGGACACATTGGCAGATAGACTACATCAAAACATGGGCAATCTGCAACCAGCCAAATTGTCACATATAAGACGATAAAAGAACATAAAGCCCCACCCACCACATACATAACATGTCTACATCTCTTATTTGTTAGGTTATGATGTGATTTTTTTCCTCGTAACCTAATGTAATTCCTTTAAAGATTTTTTTTTCCATTATTCACTATTTAGAGTAATATTACTTATCAAATCATGAGTCCTCGATTTTGTTATTTTATCCCGTGACAATTTTTAAGTTTTCTTTTATCTTTTCTCGTATCATTAAATCGCTAGTCTCGATTCGGTTTAGTCTACACACATACATGTCATCTTTAGACAATTTTGCGTGGTCCTTTTTTTTTTTTTACTTTTAGTAGTCAAATCTACAATGAATTCAATGAAATATCTTAATATGCTCAACACAAGAAATAGTAAACATTTTGTAAGATTGATACAAGAAAATTACATCTTTATAGCTCTATCTTTTTATGTAGTTAAGAATTTCTTATATAAATCTATCTAAAAAATATGCCCCCCACAGATATACTTGCAGTCCAATAATATCATCTTATCAAAGACTAGTAGTCAAAGAGTCTTAAACTTTGACTGGTCAAGAAAATTATTATATTTGGGTGAAGTGGAGCTAGCAAAATTCAATATATACATATACATATACATATATATATTATATATATATATATATATATATATATATATATATATATATATATATATATTCCCTTGAAAGTCAAGATGGTATATTTTAGATTTTGACCAAGACCACCTTTCCAAAACTCTTCCCTAGTCATGTATTTGGTGGTTTTTGTCTTTTTCTTATCTGTCCCTAATAAACTTATATTTGAAGTCAAGATGGTATATTTTAGATTTTGACCAAAACCACATTTCCAAAACTCTTCCCAAGTAATTAATTTCTGACTTTTGTCGTTTTCTTATCTTTCCTATTTCTTGAATGATGATCATCTTGTATTATATACTTCCCACCTTCTCGTTCTTGTAGTTCAAGTTTCCAAGCCAAGAGAAAGATAGATGTACGCCATGCAAAGCTTTCCATCAGTGGCAGATCACCATCTCCTTCCGTTCACAGATGTCGGAGACTTCGGCCTCTCCACATACCTTCCTTTTGCTGCAGCTTCCAACCTGGTATGCACGCGTTGCTCCCTCGTTCCCTCCCTTTTGTTTACTTGGTTCTGCTGCTTATGTTTCATTTCATGGTTCTTAATTTCCAGCACACTAACTTCGATCATTACTCAACTAAGTCCTGTAACCTTCTCCTACACTTACATATACTAACATCTTTCTCCTTTTTCCTTTCGTTTGATAATCCTAAGAAGCATGCTAGTAAAGTATATTTGGTGGTTTATGGTGGATTCTTGTATACCATCATTTCTATGTATGATTTGATTTGGAAAAGGAATCCCAAGTGACTTCATTTGCTTTATGCGAAATGAAAAGTTGCAGGAAGGAGATTCTGGGCATTGTTGATTCTGTGCATTATGATCTTGAGTGCTTCCACACACACACACACACACACACATATATATATATATAAAAGAAAGCTGTTCCTCTCTTGTTTTCTTAATTATCCTCCTCTTTTCTGATATAATGTTGATGTTGAATTCATTGATCTCTATGTTATTGGAAGCAGCAATTTGTATGGAACATCTTAATAGTGTTCTAACAGTGAAAAATGTCAAATTAAACCACGTGATAAAAATGTATACTTAGAAGGACATTCTCATCCAGTCTGAAGGTGTAGTAGTCATAAACAGTACAGGTACTAGCAAATGGTCTTTCTTGGCACAGAATAGAATGGAAGAGAATGAGAACGCTTGTCTTATTTTGAAGTACCTCAAAATGGATTAAGTGTTTTATTCGTTTGTTTTATGCATGGTCTTCTTTTGAGGCAGAAAGATATCTCATGCTATATAAACTACTACATCATTCTGACTTCATCACTACATGGTTTATGTTGTGTAGTCAATCAGGATTTTTGAGTGCACATTGCTTCATCAGTGGAGGAATAGTATTCCAACATTTCCTTCTAAGCTACATCATTCTGTTCCTTAGTCGTGTTTTAGGATCACAAGAAATTAAAAGAGATACTTGAAGAGAACTCAGAGGTTCATGAAATTTAATGAACTTTTAATTTGATTGATTTTTGACAGAGTAATCTGGTTCAGACATGTGCTATCTCTGAGTATGACTTGGGAGGAGAAGGAGATCTGTTCAAAGCTCCAAGACCCATACTAGAGGAATCAGTACTGTTATCTGGTTATGGAAGTAGCATCATGACAGACAACATTGAGATAGTAGATATGGAGTCAATCCAAAATGGAGATCTCCTGTGTGAGGCCTTCTATGGCTGTGAAAAGGACCTCCTTGTGAAGTCAGCTCATGTGCCGGCACCTGACGTAGCAGACTTTGTGCTCCCAGAAGAAACTACGGTTGGAGAAAGGAATTGCTTCTCTGCAGAGGGGCCTTTGCGGAAGAGTGACAGCACAAATGCTTCCAGCGTCGGACCATGTTTACTTGATGTTCATGAAGTGGATCTTGAGGCTGCGTTTGGGATGAGGACATACAGTGAAGGAGATATCCAGGTCAGGTTAAAGAATTCATGACCTCCTGTATGAACTGTCATCTTTCAATTGATAGATGAACATTTAGCTGGCATCAATTAATTGATAGATGAACATTTAGCTGGCATCAATTAACAAAATAAGCCTGAAAGGTTTCGAAATTTCTACGAGGCATCCTTAAGCTTATGAAGATGTTACTGGTCATTGATTTTGAGCTTTTCTGGCAGAGTATTGGAGTTGATAGCTATGTTCATGGTGATATCAACATTGTCCCTACTTTTAAGTTGTCATCGACAATAGAGGATGTGAAGATGAAAGAAAGAATCCAAAAGCTTTCCAGGTACAGGACCAAAAGGACAAGAAGAAATTTTCACAGAAGGATCAAGGTGAGTTACCATTTTATTCTGATGGGCTATGATATCAATCACAACCAGAACAAATAATCTACATATAGATTGACAATTATACACCTACATAAGTCATATCACACATCATGTCTGCTTCATCAGTTGATGTAGAAACAATCAGATGCTAATGACATCTTTCAGTCAACCTTTGGGTTCATTTGAGCTTCACTAAACACAACTGTGGAGGAACAACATCTTACACTGTCCACCAAACAGTCCCCTCATTAAATTACAATCACAGTGATCATAACTCTGCATTTTGCAGTATGTATGCAGAAAGGTCTTGGCAGAAGGCCAGCCTCGCGTACGTGGAAGGTTTGCAAAGAAAGAAGGCAGGTGTGCAAAGACCTGAACACTCTCATGCATGTTGCAACCTGTAGAAGCAATGAATAGATGTGGCATCGGCAAGTAGCTCCCACTGTAGGTAAATTTGGTTGATGGTTTGTATTAGGTATCTATGTGTAGTTATGTAAGTAGGCAGGAATAAGATAAAATCTGGCACTGTACACAGCTTTCAAATGATAGTTATGGGCGCCATGTTGGGCTGTACTGGTTTTCCTCTTGGAACAAGCTTTGGTGTATATATTTCTCATCTTTGAGCCACATGAATTGAGAATTGTGGTGAATTGAATTATGCATGTCAATTAATTTGTCCACAAGGAGAATTTGGAGAATGTAGGACATGACAAACTGTACGAGCTAATGCTTTCTGCTTCGTTCTTTGCCATAACCTCAACATACACAAATCCCTTCAAAATGCTCATGGTTTCTCTTAGACTATTTCCTGCCAAGGCCTACTTTAACCAAACCTTTCATGTATAAAGAGCTCAAGATTGACAAACAGTGAATCGACTATAGTCAACTCTTCACTCGAAGTTTAGTAACGCAAGCATGAGCAATGATATATATATATATATATATATATATATATATATATATATATATATATATATATATATATATATATATATATATATAGTTTTTTTATAATTGAATGATGTGGTTGGGAAGTTGACACGGCTTGGTCCGGATTAGATGTGCAAGATCGTCCACGTGGATCTTCGAAGGAAAAAGAGGCCAGGGGGTGAGATCGGTCGTGGGTCGGATCATGGGGTCTTGCTACATCCTCGTGGTCGACCTGAGGTGGGATTTGATCGGTCTTGTTTCCAGTGCGCTCTTGCATGACAGGCTGATGTCAAGAGGGAAATTTTTTATTCAACCATTCCGATGCTTAAGTTAGCAAATGGAATGATATCGTATTAAAAGTTTGATCCCTTTCTCCGAGTTTGGGGGTTCGACATTTATACTTGTGGAGGTGGACCAAATGTACATGTGACGTTAATGTCCCTTGTTGTCCTATTCAGCAGGAATGTGCAAGCGGCCAACCCATACGTTCTCGACAACGCGAGTCGACTCGTTCGGACCTCTACTGCACGGCGCTGACCTATACGGTCTTGAGCGGTACGGAGCCGATTATGCACGACCCGCTAGGTCGACTTCACTCCCTATGGGACACGTGTTGGGTCATTCCACATCGGCTCCTTGGTGGCTGCTAGTTGTCACTCTATTGCTAGTGCGAGAATATTCTCTATCATTCATCCTCCTCAAAGGCATATCCTGGGGTTGTTAGGATTGAGTCAACACTAAGAGGAGGGGGTGGGGGGGGTGTGTGAATTAGTGCAACGGTAAAATTACGTTAAGTCAAAAATCTTCGTACGATAAAAATGCTAGTCATATGTGCCCTGCAAGACAATTACATGAGTGATGACACATGTAATTTGATACGTAGTCTTTTTGTTTATTATATTTTAGCATTTATTACTTTATATTACTTGTTGCATATATACATATATACATTGTGATGTTTTTGGATCCGTGGAATGTGAATCAGATCGTGATGTGATCACGTTAATGAGACCGATTCGTCTTTAAACACAGATCCTAAATAATCTCAATCATAGGTTACTCGAGAGAGACATCGAGATAACCAGACAAACTAACGTGTTGTATACCCATCCATATTATGGATGCAGCTGGTCTCATAGCTGCTCGTGTGGGGACACTAGGGATATAATATAGGTGCTCATTGGGGAATGAGTTCACTAATTGATCCGCTTACAGAATACTGAATGATTGATGATATCTTATTATCAGACAGTGATTCTGTAGTCCTAGTGGTGTATCTGGTCCTTAAACTTGAGATACTAAGGATGTCTTGTATGAGTGCTCCACTCTTTGATACCAGACTTATAGGGTTGGATGTCTCAGATCTAGCACAATCGGTCATCAGGAGTTGTGGCCAACCATACGAGGACTATTGAGTGTCAATAGAGAATCATCCACTCTCAGGGTTAGGAGAGGAATGTCTCATGCATTCTTGCTCAAACAAATTCCTGGTTATGGTCATTCGGATTAAGAGAGAAAGAGTTCTCCAGGAGAGTCTGATTAGAGCAAGACTCGAGTAGAAATTATATGAGTCTGGCAGCACCATGTCCAATATATGGTCTTTAGGACATTAGATAGATGAGGGGCTATAGGTACACGGTAATTAAGGACAGACAAGTTCAATGGATTAGATTCCTCTGTATTATTTGGGGACTACGGCGTAGTGGCATAGTACGTCCATAGTCGATGAGTCAAGTGAATTATTATGAATATAATAATTCATTGAGCTAGAAGGAGTTTTGATAGGTATAACTCATGGTCAGCTCAATATTGGGCCTAAAGGGTCACACGCATATGGTAGGCATTGCGATAAGTATAGGTTCAGATATGAGATATCCGCCGGAGCCCATATCTTATTGGATATCCAATAAGCCCCTGAATTATTGGATCATATAGATGAGATCCAATAAGATCTCATAAGATATTATTGGATATAGATCCATTAATCTAAGAGGATTTGATAGTTGGATAGAGATCCAATACCCAATAAGAGAGAATCTATTAGGGTTAAGTTGACAAGGGACCTCTATAAATAGGAGGGAATCAGTGGTTGGCTAGAGCCTTTTGCTTATCTCTCTTATTCTCCTCCCCCTCTCCACCTCATAGCAGGCCTGGAGTTTTGAGGAGTGACGTCGCAGCCCTGCTATGTAGATCACCGTTGAGAGAAGGATGCTTGACCTCCTTTTATCATCTCATAGAGATCTGTAGGGATTTAGGGATATACGATCTCCCTAGGTAACATAATCTATCTCACATATGATTTTTTGTTTCACAGATTTTTCGTACCAATCTTTGCATGACGACGAACATATCTTTGGGAATTGAGGATTTTATTTTCTATTCTTTCAGTGCGCATGTGATGTCGCCCCCCATGATTTTCTAATAAAAAAAATATATCGAAAAGATGCTTAACTTGAAAGCATATGGAAGTATAATGAAAGTAAAAAATTTAGTTTGCAATATAAGGAAAAAGCATGAAGGAAATGCAAACCATATTTTTATAGTGGTTCGATCGTCGTGACATATATTTACTCCCGATTCCTCTTTACTCGATGCCACCGGCTTCCACTACCGATCTTTTTTCAACGGGCGAAGATTAACTATCCTTTTACACCCCTTTTCTCATTTTCATAGGTTTAATAGACAACCTTTTACAAGCACTCACTTCTCCCTAAACAGAATTCTAAAGTTAGAACTAGATGAGGGGATCTCTCAAGTGATTGTTATAGCATTTTTCCACTTTTAAGCTCTCTATGCTTGTGTATTTTAACCAAGGATGAGAGAGGTATTTATAGGCCTCAAGTGGATTCAAACTTGGAGCCTAAAATGGTATCATCCCTTGTTTTTGGGTACTAGAAATACCACCGCTTGTGCTGGGCGATACCACCGCCTACAGCACTAACACTAGGCGATACCACTGCCTAGTTTGATAGTACCACCGCTTAACAACTTACCACTGGGTAATACCACCGCCTAACATAATCTCAAATATTGTGTTTGGGCGGTACCATCGCTTGACACAGTCTCGAAGATTGTGCCATCGATGGTTCCATATATTGGGTCATTGTTTGAGCCTTTTGCTTGGCCCAACACAGCCTAAACTTAAGCCAAATGACCCCTAATTGAGTTGGCCCAATTTCAACCCAATTACACCTAAAATCTACTTCGATCTAAATAATTATTGCAAAGCTAATCAAATATTGTCCGCATGCCATTGGTTCATCGACGCCTCGTCCAATTCTTCAGCTCATCATCCTCTCTTATGGCCTATTGTCCAATCGGCCAGTTGACATCCACAACTCCAATTTTCTTGGTGTAATTTTTGCTCTTCTTGACCCGATGCCCGAACCTGTAGCTCGAAGCCTTCTGCCGATACGTCGACCGATCCTTCGACTTGACGTCCAATCTTCTGACATGTTTCACTCTAGCTCAACATGATTCTTTCTGCTTTTAATTGTCTCTCCCTGATCGAAGCTTCTTGCGTCACTCAAAGCGCAGATCAGATAAACACTATCAATTGGTTTCATCATCAAAATCTGAGATTTAACAATCTCTCCCTTTTTTATAATGACAACCAATTGATGACGGAGTTAACCTTAACTCTCTCTATCAATATGTCATATTGATAGAATCTTGAATTCAAGTCAAAGCAATATTTTATCATGAATATATGCAATACATTATATGCATATCATTGCATTACATGCATCATTATCATAAGTTTTGCTTGCATCATCATAAATATTTCAAATCATTATGATATCAAAACATCCTACCACATATGATTCTCACGTCATCATTTCTTCTCCCCTCTTTGTCATCAATAAAAAGAAGAAGTGCAACTATTAAGTTTTAGAAATACAAAAGCTTAACTATTTAGCAAAATTTTCATCACTTTAGAACATTGCTAGTGTAAGATATCTTGTTTTTGCATTTTCTTGAAGTGTGCAAGCTAGTAAGTTTTTCTTCCTTTTGTAATGTGCAAGTTTCTAAATTTTACATCTTGAGCTAGCAATTTTTGAAATGTATAAGATAGCATGTTTTTTAGATATGCAAGTTTTACAATATTACAAGCTAACAAATTTTTTCAGCACTTTACAACATGCATAATCACCAAATCATCATTAATCTTAAAGATATGCAAGATTATAAATTTTGCAAGTTTGTATTTTTGCTCCTTAAGATATGCAAGTTAGCAATTTTTGGTGATGTTCAAGATAGTAAGTTCTTTTTTCTCTTTTGAGAAGTATAATTTTTTGCTTCCTTTACAAAGCGCAAGCTAGCCAAATTTTACATCAGTTTACAACATGTAAGCTAGCAATTTGGCAAGTGTTACTTCTCTTTGAAGTATGAAGACAAGCAAGTTTTTGAAAAAGAATGCAAGATAACAAGCTAGCAAGATAGCTTGTCCCGACCCGAACTCTCCTCTTCACTTGTTTCAGGCTCTATAAGGGGTAGGGCAGCTATTATCTGGCTACCCGAGGTGGGTTTAGGGTGAGCGATGCCTCCTTGAATAATAAAGGTTGGAAGTCATGTCACTTCTTTGTGAGCACTAACCGAGGGTGGGAGTTCGACCTCGAGTGGTTATCGCGGGTCATTAATAATACCCTACCCTTGAAGGAGATCCTCTCCTCTTCCATAGCTATTAG